GGGAGTCTGACTAGCACCTCTGATGTCTGGGACTTAGGATGTCAAAAAAATAAAATAAACTATAGAAAATGTCAACGCTCCGCCCATATCATCTTGACACTTACTATTCCCACACATCACAATTAATTTTTCCATGAACATGTGCAAGCTGGCATTCCACACTCAACTGACCTAGGGGCAGATAAGCAGGACCATGAAGCTGATGTTCCCAAGAACACCCCTCAATCTATGTTGGTAGAGAATACCTGGTGTAGGAATAAGTGAGAAAGACCTCAGTGGAACTGTTTTTCTCCTCCCTCTTCTCTCCACCACAACCCATGAAGGCCACTTTTTCTTGTTGAGTTGGAGTCTCACTCTGTCGCCCAGGCTGGAATGCAGTGGCATACTCACAGCCACCCCAGCATCAACCTGCTAGGCTCCGGGAGTCCTTCCACCTCAGCCTTCCAAGTAGCTGGAACTACCGGTGTGTGCTACCACGCCAGGCTAATTTTTTATTTATTGTAGAGACAAGGTCTCACTAATTTACCCGGGCTGGTCTCAAACCCGTGGGATCAGGCAATCCACTCACGTTGGCCTCCCAAAATGCTGGGATTACAGGCTGAGCCACCATGCCCAGCCCATGACGGCCATTCTTATCTTTATCCAAGAGAGACATGGAATTGGGACATTCATGTGCTGGTACCTATTTAACAACTAGCTCTCCAAAATATTTATATATTTATGTATGTTACAGGTGTCAAGTCTGTGTAGCACACAACTTTGAAATGACAATGAAATACACTGTACTTTTTATTGTAAATTCCACATGGCCAAGTGATTCTCACAGAATGCTTTTGCTGATTTTTCTGAACTTTTGTAACCTTAGCTAATCTATACTTGCAATTGGTGAACCATGTAGTTATGCTATGAAAGTTGTTTGATATCTTCATTTACATTAAGAAGTAAGGCACAAGTTAAATGCTGAGATGCATGGTCAGACTTTACTCATTTGTCAATGACAAGAGCAAACTCTTTGTTGAATCAGAAAGAGATTTTCAAAACCAGTACTAGAAGAATATTTCCTATTTTTTGTGTGTGTGCTATTACAATGTAATGACTATAGATGTGAAAAACTTGCAAGTTTAAATTGCATTATGAACATTTTCTCTATGACTTTATTAAGACTAGACAATCAACAAAATTATAAATCGAGTCTTGAGGGATAGTGTTAGCCAATTTCTTCAGTATAAACACTTTTATGACTGATTTCAAGCTGCAAAGGTGACGTGTATAAAATTGTAATTTTCGATTAAGTCTTTAAGGCATCTCTTTCACTGAAGCCCACCTCTGAGCATCATGGAGGCACTTTCTTACTTGGCCCACCCAGAAATAACCTCTGTCCAGTTTCATGTCTGGCCTCCCCAAACTGTAGTGGTGGGAGAGGATGTGTGGGTGAAGAGATGGATGGGTGGGTGGATGGATGGATGAGCTTGACAGTGGCTGATATGCTCAGACCATTTCCTGATCCTTCTCTGACACTACTCTGTAACATTGGAAAGTAGTAAATATGAATAAAACTCAGAAAGTTGTCAATTTAATTTCACACAACCCTGTGAGCTGAATATCATGAACATTACTATACCCACTTTGCAGGTGAGAAAAATGAAGCTGCTTGCTGTTATATGATTTACCTGAAACCTGTTTAGTCTGGAAATGGAAGAACAGAAAATCAGCCCCATGTCTACCTTGTTCTGCACACAATCCCCACTATCTCATATATCCCTACATGTCCAACTTCCAGAAGCACCATTTCCATCTCCTGCTGTCTTGACAGAGCTCAGGTTGGGAGTTGCTTGTGTGTGATATGCCTGTTCTGGGCTTCTGGAAGTTTCATTGTCCATTTATGACACACTACACAGCCCAGCTTCTTTTGACAAAGCTAAAATTTAAAATCACCATACCCAATCCCAACCTTGATCTTGAAAATCTGTAGGCATGCATCAAATTTTGTAGGACCTCTAATCACTGACTATTTCTTGCCTGATTATTTCTTGCCTGTCCATAATGAGTTGCCCTGCCACACCCAAGTGAGGTCATTGACAACCCCGAGTGGACCACAGGACTGCTAGAAGGTTATAAAATGCCTCCCAGTCACTGGCATGACCCAGGCTCCTGAAATCATTACAACCCTAGGCTGAATTTTCCAGGCAACTTTATCCACTGACTTTTCTTTGAGCTTAGTTAATGAGAAAATATGTTGGAGATTAAAACAGAAGAAATAAATATGGAAACCAATATGCTTATTCGTCTTCTTTTCTTTATAATCTACAAAATGTCTGGTAGTGGTTGCATTCCCTCTAATACCCAAGAAGAAAGACTACTGTGGTTTAATTTTCTTCTGGGTGCTCCTGATCCTGGGCTCTAGTGTACTGCCTCTTGCCTTGTTGTCAAGATGTTCTTCTGAAATGGTTCCTTTCTTAGTTGCTTCATTGACCATATTTAATTTTCTATCTTTTCCACGAAATGTGTAATCAATTATTTGGGTTACATTTTAGTTGTTCTAAAAATTAGTATCATTTCTATTTTGGCAATTGAAACAACTGATAAGGATAGATGGATGGACACAAGGAAAGACAGGTGGGATGGATGGTTGGATGGATGGATGGATGGATGGACGGACGGACAGATGGACAGACAGATAGGGAGATGGGTGGATAGATGGATGAATGGATGAGGATATTAATCCGTGTGTATGACTCTCTTGCCAGTCTTCAGATTCAATTTAGCCTTTTTGTAGTTGTTGTTCTTGGTCCATTTCCCCTTAGTCTTAATGTGTTTTAACTCATTCTCTTAGTCTTAAGTATGTTTCCTCATGTAATCAGGCATTTGTATACATAATTTATTTCAATATCACTCTAAGGGATATTTCTGTTCCTTCCCATTTCTTTCTAACTTTGTCCTTTTGGTGACTATGAAATGCTTCCAAGTTATCATGTTAACAATACCCCTTTCAGATCTTCACCTTCAAATCCTCACTTAGCACTACTTCCTATTTCCCAATAGCCAGTGCAATTTTTTATTTTATAGTCACTACTGCCCAGCTTCTAGTATATATTTCTGCCTATTTGATTGAAAAACTTCTTCCTGAAAATTCAACCCAGTTTAGCTGACTTGAATTGTCCTCAGTAATTGTGTTTTTATTCTTTAACTTGATTGTATTTTTTGCATTCTCCCCTTTAAATGAAGTAAGTGCCCCAAGGGACCTAAATTCTTTCTTTAGGTTGTCCCTTAACAGAGAATTTTATCAATAGCTTCATCCAGGTACAGAGAGCAACCATGCAAGGATAGCAAAAATAAAATTTCTCAGAAAGACGAAAGCACCGTTAAAGACAGTTAATTATTAAATAATTTGGGGTGAGGAGCTTTAAATCAGTACGAAATGCAGAGAAAAGGCATTTTTCAGAATATACACTGTCAGTTTCTCCTAGAAAAAAATATATATACACACAATACTGACTAGGTCTTCTACCCCTGTGGAAAATATTTCCAAAATTTTTACTCTGTGACATTCCACGTGCCTTCCTTGCCTGTACGGAATAAAAATTCTTTAAAGATGGCGGCTTCTAGTTGTCATCTGTTTGGGCGCGGCCATGCAGTCCTTCTAACAAAGTTCCCGGTGGAAAACGAACCACACAGGCTAGAGATACGTCGTTGTACGCCATGATAACTATTGGCAGGGCGTAGCTTCAAAAGTATTAGTGGGCATGCGCATGACCCGGGCCCGGTCAAGGAAGTGCCGGAACGATAACCCAAACCGGAAGTGGCCCGGAGCGGCCATTTCACTTATGTTGTTCAGTGGCGTTGAGTCTGTGTGGCTTGCGGGACGCTGAAGTGACTTGGAGGATTAGCAATGGGGACGCGGTAGGGTCAGTGACGGGACAATGAGGGGAGGTCGGCTTGGGGTGAGTGATGAGGGGTTTATGGGGAGCATGATGGGCGGGTTTATGAGGTGAGTGAAGACGGGCCTGTCAGGTGAGTGGGGGAGGGTCCGTCGGGTGAGCGATGGGTGTTGTCTTGGCTGGAGTGACAGGGTCTTAGGGGTGAGTGATGGGGACTGCCCTGGCCCAGGTGAGTGAAGGAGTCTTTGGGGTGAGTGATGGGGGCTTTCTTGGCCCAGGTGAGTAACGGAGACTTTGGGGTGAGTGATGAGGGCTCTGGGGTGAGCGATGGGGACTGCCTTGGGCCAAGTGAGTAATGGGATCTTTGAGGTGAGTGATGGGGGCTGTCTCGGCCCAGGTGAATGGCGGGGTCTTTGGGGTGAGATGGGGGCTCTCTTGGCCCAGGTGAATGACGGAGTTTCTGGGGTGAGTGATGGGGGCTGTCTTGGCTCAAGTGAGTGATGGAGTTTCTGGGGTGAGTGATGGGGACTGTCTTGACCCAGGTGAATGATGCAGTGTCTGGGGTGTCTGATAGGGTCTGCCTCGGCCCAAGTAAGTGATGGAATTTCTGGGGTGAGTGATGGGGTTGTCATGATTCAAGTAAATGACTGGGTTTCTGGGGTGAGTGACGGGCTTGCTGGGGTGAGTGATGGGGACTGTCTCGGCCCAGGTGTGTTAGTAGGTTTCTGAGACGAGTGAAGACAGGTCTGTGAGGTGATTGGGGTGGGTCAGTCTGTTGAGTGATGGGGACTGTCTTGGCCCAAGTGAGTGATGGGATTTTGGGGGTGAGTGAGGGAGACTGTTTTGGCCCAAGTGAGTTCCAGGGTCTCTGGGGTGCGCAGTGGGGACTGGTTTGGCTGAAGTGAGTGATGGGGTTTTTGGGGTGAGCGATGGGGACTGTCTTGGCCCAAGCGAATGACAGGGTTTCTGGGGTGAATGATGAGTGATGGGGATTGTCTTGGCCCAAGTGAGTGATGGGGTTTTGGGGTTGAGCAGTGGGGACTGTTTTGGCCCAAGTGAGTGGTGGGGTCTCTAGGGTGAGTGAAGGGAGCTGTTATGATTCAAATAAATGACTAGGTGTTTGGGGTGAGAGATGGGGACTGTCTTGGCCCAAGTGAGTGACGGGGTCTCCCGGGGTGAGTGATGGGGGCTGTTTTGTCTGAAGTGAGTGATGGGGTTTCTGAGATGAGTAATGGAGGCAGTTTTGGCTTAAGTGAGTGACGGGGTTTCTGGGGTGATTGATGGGGGTGTTTTGGCTGAGTGATGGGGGTTTACAGGGTGAGTGAAGGTGGATCGGTGAGGTAAATGAGGGCCAGTCAGCCCTAGTGAGTGAAGGAGCTGTACTGGCTGAGTGACAGGGGATTTCTGGGGTGAGTTCTGGGAACTGTGGGGTAAGTATGGTTTGCCAATTTTAAGTTGGATAATCGACTAGTTAATATCCCCCCCTTTTCTTGCATATTTTCTGTTAGTAGATGCACATTTTTATAACCTAAATTCCGTGTGTTCTGTAATGTCAGATTTTATATTGTTGTCCATGAAACCTGCTCATTTGAGGACAGTTAACATGCATCCTAAGAGCACTTTAGTAGGTGGTGCTGGAGGACATTCAGGGAAACAATTCACTGAGGGGGGACTAGAAGAGTCAGTGATTGAGGAGTCAGTGATTCAGGGATTGGAGGACTGTGAGGGTCACTTTGTAGCACACTGAGGGGGAGAGTTATCTTGGGGTGAGTGATGAGGGGCGCTAAAGGTAATGTAGAAGCCAGTTGAGTAGAAGCCTGGAGGGTCAGTGATGGGGGTTTGCGAGGGTGACTGCATTATTTTCTGGGCAGTGAGTGCTGGTGTTCTTTGGGGATGGATGGATGGGTCAGTGTTGGCCTCTCCTTGAGTCCCTGAAGACATAGTAAGGATCAGTGTATTGGCAGCTAAGCAGATTGATGATGGCTTCCTACTGAGGTGTTTTATTTTTTGTTGGGGATTATTTGGCATCCTGTGGAAATAAGTAAATTGCCCTCCCTGGAAAATGTTTATTGGCTCTCAAGGTAGTCTTGATTTCTGGAGCCTGGGCCATGTCAGTGACTGGGCGACATTTTATTTTATTAATTTAATTTATTATTTTTTATTATTTTATTTTATTTTAGATATGAGGACATTTTGTAAACTGGCAGTCCTATAATCTACTCTGGGTTGTCAATGACTGTATTTGGGTGAGACAGGGTTATTCATTATGGACAGGCAAGAAATTATCAGAGATTGGAGGTCCTGATGTGGTTCTTTAGACTTTCTGGGTCAAAGTAGGGGATGGGTACAGTGATTTTAAGTTTTAGCTTTGTCAGAAGAGGCCGGGCTGTGTGGCATGTCATGGATGGGCACTGAAATGTCTAGAAGCCTAGAATGGGCACACCAGATACAGGCAACTCTCAGCCTGAGCTCTCTGAAGGCAGCAAGAAATAGATATGATGTTTCTGGAAGCTGGGCATGTAGGAGTACATGGGATGGTGGCAACAGTGTACAGTTTAGAACAAGGCACATGTGTGGCTAATTCCTTGTTCTTCCATTTGCAGACTGAATACTCTTTCAGCTAATTATGTTTCAGTATGTAGCTATATTATCCTCATCCATAAAATGAGTATAATAATGCTTGTGATATTTAGCTGACAGGGTTGTGTGAAATTAAATGGACAACGTATAGGTTTTTATACACATTTACCACTTGCCAGGGAGGTGTTGAGGGCTTGACAAGCCTCAAGCTTCTCAATACCTATGAAAAATACCTTTATCTTCACTTTGAAAACTACAACCAAAGTAATATCTTTATATTCTCACAGTTAAAAGGTAGGACAGCTGCAGTGAATCCTTCATCAAGTTTAGTCTAAACTCATAGTCTTTTTTTCTGAAACCTGACTAATAACTAGAGTTGAATTTTTCTGAACTTTGTCTCCTCTATGATGTGTCACACAGTGACCTTCACCTCAGGGCCATCAGGAAATATTTTTGGAGCAAATGTTGGATGAGTGACCATGTGGTCATTGTCTTTCCAGGACTTCCTGGCATCTCTTCAGAACCCCCATGTCAGGCCACATTGTTGAGGCTGCAAGACCTCCCTTCACAGCCTAGCCCACCTCTCCCCAGTGGCCCTGACTGGAGCATTCAGACACCTACCCAGCTTCTGGCTCCTGGGGAGAGTGGAGTTATCAGCAAAAGGAACCAAGAGAAGACACCCAGAAGGACATGCCTGCTGACGTGAATTTATTCCAAATGCCCCAGGTCCTGGGTCCAGAGGAGCATGATGGGTTGTGTGAGGTAAGCAGAAGCAGCCCAGGGACAGTTCTCCAGAACATCAGGGCAGACACAGGGTGCAGCAGATTCTAGATTCCCTGTTCCTGAGCCAATCTTTGTTCTCCTGCTAAGTGAGGGCCACAAAGGGCTGATGTCCCCATATCCGCAAGCTGTGTTCTGAAGGAAACTGTGAACTGGCTGATCAGGAAGAATCTGTTGGGGAACAGGGCTGGCCCTGCGGCAAAGGAAGGAGAAAATGTAGTCCCTGGCCTGGATGGGAAACCCAGCTGCATGCAGGGAAATGCTAGCTCCTTCCTGCTCAGCACTGGGTCAGCCCGTTTATCTGCCATCAGGTGTTTGCAGATGCTCAGCTGATCCCACCAGACTCCTTGCCTGGTCTATGGGGAGTGACTTGTTTCTTCTCTGTTCTCGTAAGGTGCACAAAAATCTCCTTTCTTTGTAGTTTATATAGTTACAGGAGGTAGAAAAAGAACATACTTTTAAGAACTATGTAGTTTTTTGCCTGTTTTTGGAAATGAATAAAAATGCTGAAAAATGGTGTTTCCAGATTGCCCACAGACATAAATATTCAAGATTTAGTAACAAGAAATCAGAATTCTTGGGTATAGTTAAGGTTTCCTGAAATTCTAAGTTAGTCTGTATATTTCATGACTTTATTTGCATGTCTTTAAATAATAATACTTGACTATATAATAAACAGTACACTTTTGTTTTGTGATAGATTTTTACTCAGAGATGTTCTGTTTAAAAAGTATAATAAATAGATTTTGTTATCATTGTGAACCAGTATATTGTGAGAAGATTGTATAGTTCAATCACATGTTAAAAGCATCTCAACCTGACAGAGACGTTTGATGATAGAAAACATTTGAAACAAGGGAACATTAATACAAAATAAATTGCACACAGAAACCTTTGTAAAAATTGAAAAATAATATCCAAAATATTCTATATTTAAAAGTCATTCTTAAAAGAAAATTTATAACATACAAGTAGAAAACTGAAATTGTCTAAATCTTTGTGACATCACTGCAAATGCAGAAAATTTTCTTTCATTTGCATTGATGTTGGTCAGATTGTAAGGTCATGTTCAGAATATCTTCAACTGTAGTGTTCTAGGATACATATTCTCAATATAAGCTTATTTCCTTTTTGACAGTGAGAATATTTTTTCTGCTTGACCTAATTTTCATTTTGTCATTTGCAACTGCTTTGCTAATTCAGATTTTCTATCAGTTTCTGAATTCATGTAAGAATATTTCCCGATATCGCATTGTCTTTTCTTTGTGGTATATATTGTCCTCTACTCTGAACAATACTGGATTGTTTTATTTTGTAATTTTTATCTTTGCTAATCTAATGAAAAAAGATGTATGTTATTTAAATTTTCTTTATTCACAAACAATAATTTTAAAAATAATTTTATTGGTCAATTACTTTTCTTCAGTGAGTAACTTGTCTTTTGCTTTATGTTTTGTTTGTCTTAGCCTCTCGATTTTTAAAGAGGCTTTATTTCTAGTAATAACCTGTTGTCCTTGTCGAATATGTTTGCAAATATTTTTTGCTACTTTGTGCTTTGCAAGTTGCTTTGAGTTTTATATGAATATAGAAAAGAGGGACAGATGGCTTTGTGCAGCTTGTACCTACAAAGGGCCACTGCTTGCTATGTTTTCTCCCAAATTCCAGCTCCTCAGAGGCAGTCTCTTTTTACATTTTAGCAAAATAGTTTGGGATATACCTCTTAATCTTTAGTGGCATACTTATATTGCTGCCTCTTAGGTTGTTAGTTAACAACATATTAACTAATTTAGAAGCATGTCATTAGAAGATTCAATTTAGCCTACCTCCCCATATTTTTACCCCCCAGCATTTACATGCTTGCTTTCCTTGCCCATCCTTCACTAAGAATTGGGTCAAATTCTGATCAGTTCAACATTCTTTGTTTATTTTTATGACTCTGTAAACTGTATTTAGAACTGCCAGTAGATTACTACATTGACTCGTCTTCTGCAAAACTTTTTGTTTCTCCCTAGAGTTCACAATTTTGTGGATTATTTACTTTTCTATATACATGTTAATGTATTACACAGTATTCTTCAAGTGTTAAATATTCTCTTTATAACTTGAATTTGTTACTAGGTAATATTAGCAGTAATTCCAAATGCTCACTGTTTCAGGAACAGTTTTAATCCTAACGACTTTGTGAGGCAGATGCTCCTATTATCCCCACTTTATGGATTAGAAGACTGGGGTCCAGAATTAAGTAAGTGGCCCAAGTTTACATTGTCAGCAAACTGCCAACCTGAGATTAAAGCTGGGCAGTTTGAGAGTTGGGCTGACCGTTCCATCTCCTTGAGGAAACCTTTCCTGTTGCTTCTTTGACTTGATGTGATTGGACCTGCTCTCTTGGCACCTGATGCTGTCTTCTCATGGCAACTCCCTTCACCATCACCTGGGAATTCTCTTCTCTGTCAAGTGTCCAGTTCCCTGTGTCCTGAATCCTTTGGCCTTCTCTTCCACTGTTTACTATCACTCTCATTCTATGGAACTGCATCCTCTAGGAGATCCTTGGAGATGGGTGCATCGTGGTAAATCCTATGAGAACTTGCATATCTGAAAATGCCAAAAAGCAATCAACTATTTATATATTTAATATATAGTAATCTATCAAGATCTTTATGTGTGTAAGTTTAATGATGTCATGGAAAATGACATTATTTTACCCTCATGCTAAATTGATCTTTGCCTGAGTTCAAATCATAGGTTAGAAATCATTTTTATCTTCCTAAAGCACTCCACCACCAAACACACACTCAAATATCTCACTTCCCGAAACTCCTATTTTTCAGATGTTATTCCTCCGTTTAAAAGGGTTTTCCTACCTGTATCACTTTCTATTTCTTTGATTTTTGTTATTTTTTCTGGAAGAATTTCTCAACTATATCTTTTAACTCTCTAGTAATCATTACTGCCCCCCACCTTTTATTTTTAAGAGTTTCTTTTTGATTTGAGTATTCCTTTGAATGGCATGATGTTTTTGTTTCATAGTTGAACTGTCTTACCTCTCTAAGGATATTTAAGATATTTTAAAATGTAATACACAGAGTTCAAACATTAAAACAACATGAAAAGTTATTTTGTACAAAATCACCCTCTTGCTTTTGTTCCTGATTTGTCCATTTGTTCCTTTAACACAGTTAATTAAGGTTAGGCACTCCCCTTTACCATGTTCCAAACTACCTCCTCCTTCCAGAGGTAATCACTTGCCTTTTATGTTAATTGCTTCATTTACAAAAATGAGAAGCCACAGAATGGGAAAAGATTCTTGTTATCGATAAAACTGACAAAAGGCTCCTATAAAATGTTGAGGAAAAGTGTTTGAACCCAGTGGAAAGGTGAGGAAGAGACTTGCTTGATAGGCCAGTAAACAAGGGAAGATGTTCGACTAATAAAGTCATCTGGGAAATGCAAATTTAACTACCTGTCAGTCTTAAACCAGTATAGTTTTGGCAGTCATTGGTGATCAGTAAAAGTGATGATGTTCTAGTTCTTTCCTTCCAGCTGCATTTGTCAACTGCTATTCTTTTTTTTTATTATTATTTTTGAGTTGGAGTCTCACTCCATCGCCCAGGCTGGAGTGCAGTGGCATGCTCATGGCCACCCCAGCATCAACCTGCAGGCCTTAGGCAATCATTCTGCCTCACCCTTCCAAGTAGCCAGAACTACAGTGATTCTTTTGTAATGCAGATCTTTCCATCATCAATTCTTTCATTAACTGAATATTGGTTCTTATAGGGAAGATCATCTTTTTGAAATATTAATATGATCCTATCCCTTCCTTGTACTTAAAATTTTTAAATGGCATTCCATTAATTACAATAAAAAAAAAACTCTGCCCATTACATGATCAGACTCCAGCCTACTTTCTTGGACCTTGGATGATAACCACCCAGTCAACTCTGTTCTTGCCCACAACTATTTGCTGTTCCCTCAATTCATTATTTTCCTGCTTTTCTACTTTTACTCAGCTCTTTTCTGGAAATTGATATCCTCCATACATTCTGCATCAAACTTCTTCCAATTTAAGCTTTTCCAGCTCTAAGTAGCATGACATTTTTTCCCAGGTAGTATTTGCTTTTCACTAATTTGTCCCTTTCCAACAGTGTACTTGACATCATTTTCTACCATGTTCCCATTATAATCCCATAGTTGAGCTGAGTAGTTGAATATTTACATGTTTTTCAAGTCTCTGAGTTGCTGAAAGAATAGAAGCTTATGTAATTCTACCCTGAGCCCACAGTACTCAGCACGAGTACACCTGGCATGTAGTCACTTCATAAACAACATGCTGGTTATTCCTAAATTGGCGAGAGGATTTAGAGAGAACCCATTTCTGGCCTCATTCCTTGTTAAAAAAAAAAAAAAAAAAGACAAATGAATGTAGTATACAAAGGATGGCAGAATATTTCTCTAAATTTTTTAAATTCCTACAAATGTGAAATAAGTATTTGGCAAGAAGCCTATATAATACATCAGAGTAAAAATCATGACAATTATGTCCTTATATATAACTGCCTTATTCACCAATGTGAGCAATTCAAGTGAGCTGGGGTACATTGTTACAGGGATCAGTATCATTCGAGGATGTGACTATGGACTTCAGCAGGGAGGAATGGCAGCAACTGGATTCTGCCCAGAGACACCTGTACCAGGATGTAATGCTGGAGATTTACAGCCACCTCTTCTCAGTGGGTGAGCACAACTGGCCTGGGAGTCTTGGATGGGTCCTGTTGAAGAGATTTCCTTCCTCCTCCTTATAGAATACAATGGGATATCCAAGTATTTCATGGCTGTTTCCTTAGTTTGTCCATGCTTGTTCATTCTATTTGGTATTATTTTGTGCCTAGTGGAAAATGTTGACTTTTCTCATGAGCCGGCGTAAAGCTTCATTGAATGGTCTCTGAAACCCAAAAAGCTATACTCAAATCTAATATCCTTTCTAATTATCAGGGTATCACATTCCCAACCCAGAAGTCATCTTCAGGTTGGTAAAAGGAAAGGAGGCTGAACTCCCACATCAAAGGTATCAAGGTAAGTGACTTGTATGCAGGCAGATGTATGTATCTCTGGGGGGCCATTATCCGCCTACACACTTATCCATTCCTTCCATTCCCCTGTTGGTGAACACATAGGTTGCCTCCTACTCCCAGTTCCTATAACAAATGCTGGATTAAATTATCTTATAAATATCCTATTGGGTCTGGCATAACAATTTCTCAGAGTTGAGTGCTCAAGAGTGGTATTGCCTGGTTATGGAGCTAAATATACTTAATTTGACTAAGTCAACCATATTGCTTTTCTGATGGGCTGTACCGATTTATACTCCTGTTAGTTGTACACAAGGACTTTGTACATCTTACTTGCTAACATTTGGTATTAACCAGTTTGGTTAATGTGTAGACATTTGCTGGGTGAAAGTGTTGTTTCACTGACAGTGTTATTTTTTAATAACTAAATAGAGCATCTCATCATATCTCTTACTGGGTTTTCTGTCTGTAGCTTGCTTTTATGTATTATTTTGTCCTTTGTTGGCCATGTGGTTTTCTGCCTTTTTAAAAAAATTTTTTAAATTTTATTTTAAAGATGTGGAATATAGATCATGATTAGGTATATAAGTGGTCATTGTACTGGTAAAGTTTGGGCCTCCTTTTGGTCCCCACTTTGCCTGGTTTGAGATCAGGTACCCTTATTGATGTTATGTCCCCCCCAACCCCCACCCTGACAGTATCCCACTACTTCCAATCTCTTTCTTATAGTATTATGGTAAATGTTTAGGGTCCGCTTATGAGTGAAAACATGCGGTACTCTGTTCTTTGTTTCTGTGATAGATTACTGAGTTTGATAGACCCTAAATCCATCCAAATTGCTGTGAAGTTCATGTTTGTCCTTCTTTGTGGCTGCATAATATTCCATTGTATATATGTACCACATTTTTTTTATCCAGTTCAGTTTTGATGGGCAGCATGGTTGATTCCATGTTTTTGCTATTGTGAATAGTGATGCAGTAAACATGCATGTGCTGGTGTCGTTTTGTAGAATGATTTGAGTTCCCTCCCAATAGGGGGACTGCCGGATCACATGGAAGGTCAATTTCTAGTTTTTTTAAAAATTGCCACACTGTTTTCCAAAGAGGTTGCACTAGTTTGCATTCTGCCAGCACTGTAGAAGCGTTCCTTTTTCTCCACATCCTCACCAGCGTCTGTTGTTTGTTTTATTAATGATGGCCATTCTTACTGGGGTTAGGTGATATCTCGGTGTGGTTTTGATTTCCATTTCTCTGCTGATTAGTGAGGCCAAGCACTTTCTCAAGTGTCTGTTGGTTGCCCATATATCTTCTTTTGAGAAGTGTCTATTCTTGTCTTTTTTCCACTTTTTAGTGGGGCTTTTTGGTTTTTTTCTTTTGACATGTTTGAGTTCCTTGTAGATCCTGGATGTCAGGCCTTTGTCAGATATACAATTGGCATACATTTTTTCCTGTTCAGTGAGCTGATTCCCCGCTCTCTTGATGGTTTCTTTTGCTTTTCAGAAACTATACAGTTTGATGAGGTCCCACTTTTCTATCTTATCTCTTATGGCATGGGCAATGGAGTTTTGATCAGGAATTGGTTGCCAGTTCCAATTTCCATAAGGATGTCTCATGCATTTTTCTAAGGTTCTTATAGTTTGAGATTTTACATTCAGGTCTTTGATCCATTTAGAGGTGATTTTTGTGTATGGGGATAGGTAGGGGTCCTGTTTCAATCTTGTGGTCAGCCAGTTTTCCCAGCACCATTTACTGAATAAGTTCTCCTCTCCCCAGTGGTTGTTGGTGGAGGCTTTGTTGAAGGTGAGTTAGTTGAGAAATTGAGGTTTTGCTTTCAGAATCTCTATCCTGTTCTATTGGTTCATATGCTATTCTTGTACCAATATCAGGCTGTTTTGATTATTGCAGCCTTACAGTAAAGTTTAAAATCTGGAAGTGTGATACCTCCCAGTTCATTTCTTTTGCCTAGGATTGTTTTGGCTATTTGTGGTTATTGATGTTTTTATATGAATTTCTATATTGTCAGAAGCTTTTTCCAGGTCTGAGAAGAATGATTTCTATATTGTCAAAAGCTTTTTCCAGGACAGAGAAGAATGATGTTGATAATTTAATGTGTATTGCTTTGAATCTGTAGATTGCCTTTAGTAGGATGCTTATCTTAACACTTTTGATTCTTCTTGTCCATGAGCATGGAATATTTTTCCATTTGTTTGTGTCTTCTTGGATTTCTTTGAGCAGTGTTTTGTAGTTTTCATTGTAAAGTTTTTTCACTTCTCTGGTTAGGAAGATAACTAGGTATTTCATTTTTTGTGGCTATTGTGAATGGGATTATGCTTTTTATTTTATCTCTGCCTGCTTATTGTTGGTGTAAAGGAGTGCAGTTGTCTTTTGCACATTTATTTTGTACCCTGAGACTTTGCCAAAGTCTTTTATCAGTGCAAGCAGGTTTTTGACAGATTCTCTTGGATTTTCAAGGTATAGGATCATATCGTCAGCAAAGAGGGATAACTTGACTTCCTCTTTTCCTGTTTGGTTACCCCTGATTTCCTTCTCTTGTCTAGGTGCCGTAGCGAGGACTTCCAACACAATGTTGACAAGAGGGGTAAGAGTGGGCAGCCTTGTCTTGTTCCGGTTTTCAGAGGAAATATTTCCAGTTTCTGTCTGTTTAGCAATATGCTGACTGTGTGTTTATTGTAGATGATGCTTACTATTTTGAGGTATGTTCCTTCTATACCTAGGTGTTTGAGGGTTTTTATCAAGAAGGGATGCTGGATTTTATCAAAAGCTTTTTCTGCATCTAATGATACAATCATGTGGTTCTGTTTTTACATCTGTTGATGTATTTAATTACATTTATGGTCTTGCAGATGTTGAACCGCCCCTGCATCCTGAGGTTGAAGCCGACTTGGTCATGTTGGATGATTTTTGAGATGTGTTGTTGGATCCAATTTGTTAGAATCTTGCTGAAAATTTTTCCATCTATGTTCATTAGGGATATTGACCTGTAGTTCTTTTTTTTTGTTGGATCTTTACCCAGTTTGGATATCAGTGTGACGATATCTTTGTAAAATGAATTGGGGGAATTCTATCTTTCTCATTTTGCATGGAATACATTCAATAACATTGGTGTCAGCTCCTCTTTGTACGTTTTGTAGAATTCTGCTGGAAAACCATCTTGTACAGAGCTTTTTTTTGTAGGCAATTTTCTAATGATGGAGTCAGTTTCCTGGGTTGTTACTGGTCTATTTAGTGTCTCAGTATCTTCTTGTTTCAACCTTAGGAGGTTGTATGATATCAGAAAGTCCTCCATTTCATTTAGGTTATCAAGTTTGTTTCCGTATAGGTGTGCGTTGTAATCTCTCATATTCTTTTGTATGTCTTTGGGGTCAGTTGTAATTTGATCTTTTGCATTTCTGATAGTATTTATTTGTGCTTTATTTCTTCTTGGTCATTCTAGCTAGGGGTCCATCAATCTTGTTTATTCTTTCAAAGAAGCAATTTTTTGTTTTGTTGATTTTTTTCTATGATATTTTTGTCTTCTTTTTCTTTTTCTTTTTTCTTTAGTTGGAGTCTCACTCCATCAGCCAGGCTGGAGTGCAGTGGCACACTCATGGCCACCCCAGCGTCGACCTGCTGGGCTCAGGCAATCCTTCCAGCTCATCCTTCCAGGTAGCCAGAACTACAGGTGCACGCTACAGGTGCATGCCCAGCTAGAGATGAGGTCTCACCAAGTTGCCCAGGCTGGTCTCAAACCCATGGGCTCAGGCAATCCACTCACCTTGGCCTCCCAAAGTGCTGGGATTTCAGGCTGAGCCACCAAGCCTGGCTGATAGTTTTGTCTTCTATGTCCTCTATTTGGGCTCTTACTTTGGTGATCTGGATTCTTCTACTAATTTAGGGTTTTAGTGGTCTTATCTTTCCAGCTCCCGTAGGTGATTTGTTAGGCTGTTAACTTGTGATCTTTCCATTTTCTTGATGTGTGTTCATAGAGATATAAATTCCCCTCTGAGAACTATTTTCATGGCTCCCCAGAGGTAAGATATTTCTTCATTTTCATTTGCTTCCAGGAATCTTTCAATTTCTGTTTTGATTTCTTTGTTGACCCAAGAGTTGTAAGCATCATGCTATTTAGTGTCCATGTCTTTGTGGGTTGTGGGGGAGTTTTGTTGGTGTTGATATTTATTTTTATACCACTGTGGTTGAGAAGGTGCATGGTAGTATTTCAATCTTATGAAATTTGTTGATGCTTGATTTATGGCCAAGAATGTGATTGATCTTGGAGTGCATTCCATTTGGTGATGAATAGAATGTATATTCTGCGGTTGTTGGATGGCGTATTCTGTAGGTATCTATTATAAAGTCCATTTGGTCAAGTGTCAAGTTGAGGTTCTGAATGTTTTTGTTAATTTTTTTGCCTCAATGATCTATCTAGGGTTGCTAGTGGGATATGTAAGACTCCAGCTATGATAGTGTTAGAGTCATTAACTTTTTTTAGGTTACTTAGTAGTTGCTTTATAAATGCTAGTGCTCCTGTGTTGGGTGCATATATGTTTAGGATGGATATTTCTTGTTGTGTATCATTATGTAGTGTCTTTCTGTATCTTTTTAAATTTTTGATAGCTTAAAGGTTGTTTTACTGGTATTAAAATCACAATTCCTGCCTTCTATTGTGATCCATTTGCCTGGAAACTCGTTTTCCATCCTCTAATTTTTAGTCTGTGTGCATCCCTTGTGGTGAGATGAATATCCTGGATGCAGCAAATAATTGGGTCATGGTTTTTTATCCAGTTTTCCATTCTGTGTCTTTTTAGTGTTACATTTAGTCCATTCACATACAGGCTGGTTATTGAAATGTGATTGTTTATCCCCATCATGAAGTTCTTATAAAGTTTTTTCTTTGTTTTCTTTTAGCTTTTGTGTTTTGTATGTGTGCATTTTCAAGTTTGCAGTCATGATGAATTCTCTGTTGATTCTGTGTTCTGCTGTTCTTTTGGGAAGTGTGTGGTTA